CTTACTGAATGGCCCCCCTTCCTATGATACGAGTTATGCTCAAAACGTTAATACTTCAGAAGTACTTTGTCTTTGTACTCTGCGTCTACCTAAGCCATGGAGCTATCGAGGCAGATGTCCCGGGTCGGTCTGCATACGCCTCAAATTTTTTTTTCACGAAAAATTAGAGAATAATCCTAATTTTCTTATAGCTGCATCGGAGAAGCTGAGCGATGCGGAAATTGCCGAATATCTACGAAAGCACCAGAACCTTTTTGAGGTGAGCCTCAAAAAGGCCTCAAAAGCTGTCTTTTGAGGCTCATGGAAATCTATGTCAATCATCCGTTCTGAGAATGTTCGGTAACAGGTCTCTTCGACACCGGTGCCAGGCTTCAAGTACAAATTGATGGATCTGAAATACGTCAGCGAGGAGAAGAATCCTGTCGTAGACGACAAGGATGACAACGGCGATGACATACCTGAAAGGTTGGTGGTTGCAATTCTAACCAGAGAAGGCTTCCAAGTTCCCATGGAGCTCTGAATGTTTGGCCCGGGTAAATATAGATCGTCTCAAAAGTTCGTGCATATCTTTTTGGACCTCATGCCACAAGCTCCTTCAGGGAATTCTAATTATGCCTTTGGAGAGGGCACAACAGGTAACATTCAACCGAATCATGCCCACCCTAGTCGTCTTGTCCGAAAAGATAAAGCATTTGATCAATCCCTTTTTGGGATGCGGCACGCATTCTACTTCCATTTGTACATTCGTAGTGGCGTTTGAATGCGATGTGGCCTATACAATGACTTGCGGGGGCCAGCCGATGTACAAGTCAGTGTTTTTATCCTCCCAGACAAGTCTGGTACCAATTAACCGACCCCGGAGGGATGGAAGGCTTGGTTGGCCCGGGCGACTCACGACCCAGGATTTGATCCGCGTGGTAAGCGCGCCACTTGCCACTACACCACTTCCGCCCTATCGTGCACCATATATGCTGACAATGTCGAACTGTACAAAGTTATTGGGAACAATTTCGATTGTGATGTGCTGCAAGCAGCCATTAACCATATTGTCACTTGATCCGACCCATGGAAGCTACATCTCGCTCCCAGATAAACAAAATGTTCACCATCGGAAATGATACTATTGTCCAGCACTACAAAATAGGTTCTGTAACATTAGAGCCAGTGGATGCAATAGATTCTCGGGTTTTCTCATCAATTAAGCTCGCTTTTGGCACGCAATACAAGGCCTTGGTGTCCAGATTTTTCAAAACATCACAAGCAAAGTATCCCATGATCCTACTAAAAGCATTGAAAGCCTATGTGAGGCCAATCGTAGAAATTGGTGATTCAGTTTTTTTTATCGAAGAAGATGAAGAACTTTTGGAAGAAGTGCAGAATAATTCCTCTCGCAAGCTTGCCCTCCGTTGCTCCGCGCTGAGTTTGCCTAGTGGAAAAGAAAGAAGCCGACATTTTGCTTTATCTTCTCTGGTATATGAAAGACAGAAAGGGCTTCCGAAATTTGGCAAAGAATGTTGCCGTTGACCCTGCTGACTATTTCACGCTGATAAAAATCGAGAACAAGAGGGTGTAAAGTCAAAATAAGGTCTGCGGTAGTAATAGCACAAGTCAAAGCTGGATTATTAGCTGTCAAAGGCTACCTTTTCGAAAAATTTTCTGATGAGAATGTCCTCCCCTTGCACACGTGGGATGTTCCGTAGTAGAGATCTAGTCAGTCAGAGGTTTCGTGATCAGAATATGGTTGTCTTATTGTATCACTTTATAAATGATTGTTCCATAAACTGTTTTGGTAATATGTATTTTCCCACAATTTGTTTTCTTTTGCGAAGTGGTTTCGTCGTCTTCTTCTTCTCCCTAGCGTTAGTCCCACTCAGTCGCAGGATCTGCCGTCTTTATCAGTCGTCGCCACTTCGCTCTGTCTAGGGCATCTTCTGCTGTGACCTAACCACTCAGTCCTCATTGGTCGACGTTCCCTTTCCACACCTCATCTTCGGCGGTCGCATTTGACTTGCGCTTCGGAGCGGTCCATTGCTTTTCCTTATTTGGGGATCCCGTTCCCTTCCTTGAGCATGCCCATACCATCAGGCATGATCGCCCTGTTCCCGTGCATTTCAATTTCTGGACAGGGCCATGGCTGCCAAGTGGTTTTTAATGAGTTCGGGTGTTTTTCGTACTCGTTATAGTTCAGCTTACACGCACTTATCCTTGCTTCCCCACTAATAAATGAAACGAGTAACTAACTACTAAATAAATTATAAATAAATAAATAAATAAATAAATAAATAAATCGTTTTGAAGTTTGTCCTGTCCCGGAAATTCCCAGAAATAGCAGTGAACCGGCAAGCTTCCCTGACTGTTTCTAAGGCAAATTCACTTCCGTTGGGCATACAGCGAGCTGTTGAGGGGCTCGATCTCCGGACGATCGAAATGCAAAGGGCGAAATGCAAAAGCAAAGAATTCTTCTTCGTAGCTCACAACAACTCTGAAACCCTGTGCTTTCAGCTTCGACGCTCGTCGTTCAGTGGTCCAACTGCTCTACACTTTTTCACATCACGGACCAAGCCAACTGCGGTAAGTAAATCTTAGGGTCCAAATAGGTAAGCAGAACCGGACGAAATCAAGCCGATGTCTCATTCCCACAGGATCGTGCTGGGCAGTGTCGTCGGCATCTGCGATGTCAGATCGATTGTGTATTACTAGCAAGGGAGCGAGCCCGTAGTAATGTGGTGATCACTTTGTTGGAATTTCAATTAACGATTCAGTTTAGCTAATTTCATAGTCTCCATTTTCGCGACCTCAGGACATGGTTCAATGCTGCGTTTCATCGGCCGGTTATGGTTACGAGTTTTATGATTGACATAACTCGCCTTCCCAATCTACTCATGCATTTGACCGGTTTCTAAACCATGTTGGAAGGTCTTTCAAGGGCGTGACAAGCTTTTTGAAAACGGTCTTTTGCATGATATAGGGCAGATGCGAGAACCACAGAACCATGTTCAATTTTTCCTGAACGGCCCTCTGAATACCAGAAAAGGAGGTCCCTAGTTCGATTTCTCGTGGTAACAAATTTTTGCATTTCGAGTTGACGTGCCAAAATTCGCGCAAAATGGAGTTAGAACCAATAAGAACAATCAGAACTCCATTTTGAGCACATCACGAGTTTTTGGAACGTCAAAACTCGAAATGCAAAAATTTGTCACCAAGAGGAATCGAACTAGGGACCCCTTTTCTGGTATTCAGAGGGCCGTTCAGGAAAAATTAAACATGGTTCTGTGGTCCCCGCATCTGCCCCTATATCATGCAAAAGACCGTTTTCAAAAAGCTCGTCACGCCCTGAAAGACCTTCCTGGTAAGGAAGGCATTTCGTAATTTCGGTTATTATATTGCGTGCGGGCCGAAATCCCCCCTATACTCTTTCCCGATTTTCCTCGACACCTCTTTTTCATTATGTTTAAAGTTATACGATCCAACTTTTCCGGACAACCTAATTTCAATCATAAGTTTTCTGAGTTAAAGGCCCATGTTGCGGTCCTATTGATTGTTATTTCGCTCAAAAATGAAATGAGAGGTGCAAAGAGGACTGAATAGCATAAGGAATAAAAGAAAACGCTGAAATGCAAAAGCACATTGTACTGGAGGTCACAGACCCAAGGTATGCTGCGAATGCTAAGAATGGCAGCGGTCGCAGCGGTGAAGTGCCCTTGTAGCGCACTTTCGAGTCGCGGCAGTGCCGCGACCACTCTAATTGGGAGCCCTGCTACCTCACTCACGAGCAGAATTTTTTAAAAAATCTGATCGCGACCCATGCCTTCAAATGCGATTCAACCCATGCCTCAAGTGCGGTTAATTCGCACATTCGCATTTGCATGGCCCATCTACAATGGGCACATAACCATTTCTCCGGTCTTTAATACATCCTGAAACTGCATCGCGAGTTTTTTACTGATTGCGTTATCTAAAGCGCACTCCAACGGTCTCCGATCATTTGTTAAAGGCAAATTCCGGGATTAGACTTGGGCGTTTTCTGTCTGTATATGACTTTTCGGATGTTTATTGGGATCGATATAGAAGAAATGAGGAAGAAAAACCGCGTAAAACACTCAAAAAAGGATTCCCTTCTTCTTTGACGGCTTACAAGCCACTAGTAGATGAGCGACGTCTTCGGACGAGTTGTCCGTAAAACTGGCCCAATGCCAACTGTGCTATTTCCCGGACATCAATCGATGCCGCCAGAAAAGCAGCTGACTGTTGCCGACTTGCGTTGTCTTCCTCTCTTTCTTTCTCGCTTCTTTTGATTCTTTTTTTGCTTTCTTGATAATTGCATGAGTAGATGGAATTACTTTCAATTATTCACACGTTCTACGATTTTTGTGGAGGTGAATCAGAATCGAACCTATACCGCAACTATCTAATCCATTTGTTCAATTGAATAATTGAATATCGCCCTACGACGTTTCAAGCAGCGACAACTTAATGTGAGTCTGACAAAATCCTTCGTCTAGCGCTCTAGGTACAAATTCCGATACAGGACGTGGGAGTTGCTCTGGCAGTTGCGTCCCTGCACTTCTAAATCACTTTAAGCTTATTGGTCGTCTGAGCCGAACTTGTCCTTTAACGCTAAGCACTTTCCAGATTTCATTAATCCCTGTCAAATTTTCTCGAGTTTCTAGGTTTGTTAGATCCAAGATACGAATTCTTCGATATATATAGGGATGTCAGAAAGGTCTTTGCGCATTTGCCAGCTTTTTTAATTTTATTTTTCGTATCAGTACAAGTCAGTTGACAGTAAGCACCACTTTAATCTTCGGCTTTCATCGCTCTAACCACTAACCGAAAGGTAATTTCTTAACTGTCCAATCTCGATTCAAAAATCCGAGATTTTCGGTACTCGAAGGTCTCCCACAATATGTCTGGATCATTGGACCACCCTCTATATACAGTTAGTTCGACTGCAACAGAAACTGATGGTATCTGTCGGTGCCAGGTTTGCCGAACACACTGGAGAGATCAGATCACCCCTAAGGAGCTTGCAGATTCTTGCTCGACCCTTTTCGTACTTTGTAGACGAGCGCGCCGCCGAGAAAAAGTTAACTACCAATTTTCCGCAACACACGCGAGCCCATCCATTTGTCATGTTCTTAACGCAATCAAATAGCGGGAATTCATTGGTAAAGCCCTCAGATGACAAAGCGCTTTGTGCTAGTCTCGTCACAGTCCAAATCGTCTCCCGTCATCTGCGTGTGAGCGAGATATGAGATCTTCACGTAGCTCAGCACGGCTAAAGCACCGCCTGGCTTATGGGCGTTTATGCGCGAGTGTTTGAAACTCGCGGTCCAGAAATCAACCCGGCGACAACTTCCAAAGTTGGTGAATCTGCAAACGTTGCGCTTACTGCGAACTCCTACCAACAAACTCCACTGCTATTGGTGAATGGTATATGATTACGGCTGGGCCTCTTGCACATGCGCACCGCACACAAGTGGCCAAGTTTATCTTATCGTGGCAATACTCGTCCACGAATTACGAAGAAGATCGCAAATGTCTCAAAGCTCCTTAACGTACGATTTGACCCCTGGTGTTTTCGACAGACCTGTGGCACCCAGAACTACAGTATTATATACCTCTGTTGCTTCGAATTACAACAGAGGGTTGCCCTCATGACCCTAACACTCGCGAGAGACTTGCTTCGGAGTTTTTGCCTTCAACGCTCCAGAAGCCTCAAAAGCTCAGGATTTCTAAAAAAGCATCAAAAAGTTGGAAGGCAATGTGTTGGCGATAATGATGGGAAATATATTTGTTAATTGCTGACTATGATAATAAAGAAAAAAAACTTGAAGATTTGTAGAAAATGCGCAATGACTTCTTCGACAATCCTAATAGTAGTCTGTAGTAATAGCTGATAAATGATAGTTGTAGTAATAGTGATAATTGATAGGATGCAACTGCCACCGGCTAATAATGTTAGCAGCAAACCATTACATTTTGTGGGGCTGTCGTCACATATGTTGTGAAGTCTGCAGTAGACACACGTCAAAGGGGACAGCATCAATACCGTACTACCTTGCCGCCGGTTCAAGAATTCTCTGTTTTAGATGTCAAGGTGGCTGGCCGATTAGAGCCTGGCAATATTTCGCATATGAAGGTGTTGTAACTGGCGGCAACTATGCTACAAAGGTGGGGTCATTACCAACTACTTTATATTCTGTGAAACATATCTATGTGAAAACTTGTAAGTAGAGTTATTATTAGGGCAGCTGTCGTCCTTACGAGATTCATCCTTGTGGTCACCATGGAACAGAGCCGTATTACGGAGAATGCGACGATGAGGCCGAGACCCCAAGATGCAAAAGAAAGTGCCTACGCGACTACAAGAAGTCGTACCCAAGCGATAAGCGCTACGGTACGCGTCAAATTGAATTCATAATGAAACCAGTAATCTAAACCAAGGAAGGTAAAGAGGTAACCTAAACTTAAGATTGAATCTATGCAGATACTGTTTCGAATGGGTCGTGCCACGTAGTCTCGCCACTAACCGGCTAGATCTTTCAGTGAGAGAAGGCCTTCAGTGGAAGAGACCCGTAGACTGTTTCGAATAGGTTAAATAATATATTGAATGATATACCGAAATAATAATTTCCGGTAAAAAACAAAAAGGTAGTAGCTTATCATTAATACGGGGGATGGTTGAAAATTCATCTCCCTCCACATATAAAACGGAATTAATTATTTTGGTAAATTCAACCCAATTGCTCCCAACTGAAGAATGAAGAGCACATTTCAGTCTATCAAGAAAACTCATAGTGGCCTTCTTTCGCAGATTACACTGATAAGAATCGCCACATGATGACGTGATGCACAGTCGACTTCGAGCGGTTCTCGGCGGGTCGCGGATTATCACGACGTTGTCTGAAACACAGATAGCAAGAGTCCCGCATAGTCAGAGCTACTAACTCTATAAAGCTCTCCATCGATTAACAAATTGAAGAGAAGTATAGGAGCTAACTTTAGGCTGGCGAATTACAGTAGGTCGCTTTAAAGGCCTACCCCAGGATCACATTGGTGTGGCCCATGTGCACGAATGTGATTGTACTGGTGGGAAGTGGGCCGGCAGTAAAGAAAAAAGGAAAAAATCCGTCAAAAACGCTTAGGTTAAGGGCTCACTCACCTTCCTGATCGGCTGTGCTAAGGGAATGAGAGACTATGCGCGGAGGGGAGAGTATGAGGCGAGAGAGTACTACAGATGAGAGAGCGCCAGACAACAGCCTGATAAGAAAAAAAAGTCTGCAGCTTGGGCAGCTTACTTTGCAAGGCCCAAGCGCTCTTATCGGTCGGTTTCCGTGCACGAGGAACGCCACATCTGTGATTGTCCTCTAGGGTTCTATACTAGTGACCGAAGAGAAGCGTTCACACGAACTCTGCCTGGGTTGTGCCTTTAAGGCTTTGAGGTGTGACAGATGACGTGATACTAGTTCTGCTTTTGGAAGGACGCCTAAAGAATAGTATTTGCAGTAAAACTTCCATCAAGGCTGCACCCTGTGTGAGGAGAAGTTTGCTGATATGCGCCAATGACAAAATGACTTTTGACCTCTCCCCGTGTAGTTACCGCGTCCGGCGAGGGAAAAAGTGGGCGATATGGGGTGTGACGACTTGTCTGAATCAAATACTATCGAAACGGCTATGTTGGTGACGGTGGTGGTCGTGGGTGGGGAGAAGGGGGTCATATGGGGAAACCCTGGCTGATGGTGGCAGTAACGGTCTATCGAGGGTCCCTAACAGAGGGTGAACGTGAAATTTTTACAACTACGGATGCTCCGCTCGCATATTTGCAGGCAAGCATCAATGATCATTTTCCTTCACTTTTTTCATGTGTTTCTCTGTTATTTATGTTTGAACACAATATGCAGCAGCGTTTTTGCTTGTGCGTGCAAATTCAGTGTTCTTTTCGCCAAATTATGTATCGCATTCGAAAGTTTTTCTGCTACAATATCATATCTTTTCGTTTTCTCCAATACCATAAATTATTCAGAAATCATGCACAAAATCTGAAAAATCAAGGCTGTCGGCGCTTCTGACAGTAAATATTCTTTAGGTTTCACAAAGGCAAAAGCGGAAGTTCTTCTTCCCATCGGACCTTAATCCACCCGATGGTACATTCCACCCACTTTTGAGCCCACATATACGTGGTTTAAAGTTCTGAATATGTGAACTCCAAAAATGGGCTCAATATCTTTTATCAAATGTCCGGTGAATTCTTGCGTAAAAAATGGAATCAAAGTTTTCTGTTTTGTGGAGCTAAGGAAGAGCAAAAACTCGAAGCGTCGTCACATGAAGCGTTTTGAAGATCTCACTCCCAACAAAACGCAAAGAAACCGGTCAAAACAGTTGCGTCTAAAAGGAAGCAAAGTAACCAAATAGTGGACTGAGGAAACATCAATGTTAGTGTTTTGGTTGAGATTGGTAGGAGAAAATGTAATCCTGGCCAACGTTTCGACGGTCTCCTCCTTTTCAAAGGCTTGAAAATAGCTCGAAGCTTTAAATAATACCCCACAAACGCATTCTCCGTCCGCTCTAGCGTGTCTGACACCTGGTCAGCAAACCCACGGAAAGCAACCGAAATTCGAAAGATGTTCTCCTTGTGGAAAGTCAGACACGCTAAAGCGCAAAAGGGGGTTGGTGGGGTGGGAATAAATTTGCAAGCTTTGAGCCATTTCAAAACTCGAAAACGATAAGACGGTCGAAACATTGACCGTAATAAACTATCCCCCTTCCAAGCCCAAGGCAGAAGTGTAAATTACACTGCAATAACGAAAATGCCGAGGCTTCAAGATGAGAGACTTGCAATTTATCACTAATTATTTTTGTAAGTATTTTTATTTAATGTTGTGCTTAGTTCTATCATTTGCTAATAGAGTCATGTGCTGCACTTATCATGCTCCCCCGATATATAGGCCGCATTCTGACTGCGCCACCTTCGACTTTGTGTTCTTTCCAGCATTTTCACATGCCATGCTGTTCTTAAAGGAGGAATTCACGATTAGAATGAAGGTCGAAGAAAGGGAAACTGACCTAGTTGAGGGACCCACGGACCTCCTGAGGGTGCGAACTGACGCGCAATTCGCATGGAAAAATTTGACCTCGGCGACCTATCATGCCTCAAAGCTGGCGGGTCCGGCGATCTCCGCCCACCGATCATCTGATCACTCGCCGTAGTTCAATACGTGGCGAGTGATTAGATAGCTGAGAGAGCGTAGTGTTGAAGAGGGCACAGCGATGAGAGTCGCATCAATGCTCAAATCAACGGGCAAGGAAGGGGTCCCATTTCTCGGGTTCTGGGCCGTTTCTCATGGTTCTTCCTTCTTTCGTGTACCACTCACCATCCCTAGGTTAATTTGAAATGGGTTGCTTTTTCATCGTGAATTCGTCCTTTAAAAAGCACCAAAATGACTGCTGTGTCTGAAGAAAGAGCACGCATTAGATATCAAAATGACTCGGATACTTGCTAGGAGAGAATATAAAAAGAGCAGGAAGAACAAAACGGCTTGAAATTTCTAACCAAAGGCAATATTTATGGCACATATGTAATTCTGCTCAATGCAATAGTCCGCTGTGCCTTTTAAAGCCCTATTTTTTTGCAAAATGCAGGACTTATTGACAAAATTCTAGGGAAATCAAAGTGCTGATTACACTGAGAATAAGGACCTCCTTTGTGGACGATGAATGAGTCTATAAGTCGAATTGTTTTGTGCAAGAGAAAACAGGCGCTGAGACGAGAGAACAGCTTCTGAGACGAGAAGGCAAGGGACGAACGAGACGCAGAGAACACTTTAGCCAGGGTCAACCGTCACGTTCGAACATTTTCGGGATTTTTGCGACCCCCCCCTCTCGAGAGGGTCCAGTTGCGACCCCCCCAACACACAGTTGCGACCCCCCAATACAACCAGCCTTCCTCCACCGCGACCTCTCCCTCTTCTATAGTATTTGATTCTGAGACCAGTTGACACAGCCCAAAACCTACCTAAAACTCCGAAACTCCACCCACTTTTTCCCCAAAAACAGCCGTCGAGCGGGGGGGGGCCAGTGAAACGGCAACTTTTTTCGCACGCACCTATGCCCTGCGCCCCTGATCACCAAAGCGCGCAATGCGACCAATGCGACCCCTCTCCCCTCCCAGAACACAAATGCGACCCCCCCCCCGTTCGAACAGTTCGAACGGACGGTTGACCCTGCTTCAACGTGTTGGCTTGAATTCTATGTGAGTTGATTACGATCTGGCCCTTTCCACTTATTTGGACTCGAGGAAATGGCACAATTTCTGCAGTTTGTGCTTCCCTCGATTTCCGGGAGAAGGGGAATTCATTCAGCTATGAAGAAGTTCATCATCTAGTCACGAGCTTACCTCTAAATAGGCATTTTTACTCCTCATTTTTATCCCTTCTTCAACGAAATCAGCTTCAGACGGAATTGAAATCGACCCGCTTGACTCGTATTTCAAGAAGCACCCTTCATAAGGTCTTGGCTGCTTATAATCTGATCCGAAAAATTTTTTCAGCTCATCAAAAGAAATAAATAAATGTTGCAGGTAAAACCGCTTACCGATTGCCAAATTCGGTGAAAGCTATCCAGAGGGATATTATGAAGAACGGACCAGTTGTCGCTGCATTCATTGTGTATGAAGATTTCGGTTGGTACCGAAGTGGAATTTATAAGGTGAAACCTTCACTCATCTCATCACCTGAACTCCACTTTCCTCCTGAGACTGGGAGACTCAGCTTTGCATTTCACTTATTACAATCCACAAATGCGACCTCAGTGCCTGGTGTCTCAACACTTTACCTAATATTTAACAGTTCTTCTTTGCAAAAGGTTTCGAATGTTTTTTTTTCACAACACTTTGTTATAGCACACTTGGGGTGCAAAATCAGGTGGCCATGCAGTGAAGGTGATAGGATGGGGAACGGAAAAAGGAACTCCTTACTGGCTTGTTGCCAACTCGTGGCACGACGACTGGGGAGAGAAAGGTGAGTCTCACAGCGATTTTAAGGATTAGCCCACTGTGGACCGCCGTTATGTGTGCACCTTCATAGGATATTGTCATCTGTTTTATGAGTAACTGATCTTGCAATAATTTGATCCGAAAATATTTAATAATATTATTATAATAATAATATAATATTATATTTAATAATTTCTGGCTCGGGAAAGTTTACTGAATTTGCCGCTCAGGAAAATGGTAACTAGAGCTTGATAACGATATTCTCATGTGCTGGCGTGAGGCATATGGTGCAACATGCGGTCCGCAGTGGGTCATATTCGTCTATACAGTACTCTTGATGTGCAACTTATCGAATACTCTCTGGACCTCATTATACCTGGAATTTGGTTGGTATGGCTTCATGTTCATAAAGAATTATTTTGCAGGCTACTTCCGTATGATTCGTGGAATCAACGACTGTGGATTTGAAGAGGCCATGGTCGCTGGGCTAATCGAGTAATGATAAGAAAATCGAAAAGAACAAGAAATGGAAAAAAATCAGAGCTAAATAAATGATTGATGCATATGTATTATAACACAGGTGGGATGATTCCAGTAAAGGACGAATTCACGCTGGAAAGCAACCCATTTCAAATTAACTTAGGATGGTGAGTGGTACACGAAAGAAGGAAAACCATGAGAAACGGCCCAGAACCCGAGAAATGGGACCCCTTCCTTGCCCGTTGATTTGAGCATTGATGCGACTCTCATCGCTGTGCCCTCTTCAACACTACGCTCTCTCACCTATCTAATCACTCGCCACGTATAGACCTGCGGCGAGTGATCAGATGATCGGTGGGCGTGCACTGGCCCACCGCGCCAAGATTGAGCCTTAATAGGTCGCCGAGGTCTCCTTCGGTGCCAATTGCGCTTCAGTCCGCACCCTCAGGAGGTCCGCGGGTCCCTCAACTAGGTGAATTACTCCTTCTTCGACTTTCATTCTAATCGTGAATTCGTCCTTTGACGCGTGTTGTTGGAGTCCTCCCAGTTTCCTCAATGTATGTTGCGTTACACACTGACATCAATTTGATAGATTACGCCACTTTGGTACGGTCTCCAACTAAGCCATTTGGGCATGTAACGTAATGGTTTGATATAAACTGCCTATCGTAGAGTCCATTTGTACGAGTCTGATTTGTCCTTAAGAATCTCACTAAGACAACCTCATCGTCCAGCTGCGCACGGACAAGATATCCGTTGATTCCAGTCACTCTACCAGATACGAATGGTATACACAAAGGAACTTGCTTTGGCGTGGCAGGCTCCACTCAGTACGCGCCCTTCTGCGATGTCGTGGCACAGTATGGCCGTTCGAAAAAAAAACTATATCAGAAGCAAATCTGCTGCCGTTTTGCTTCACTTGTGCATACGTTTGCAGCTGTTCTGAACGTGCTCCTAACAACTGCGTTTTTCAAGGCAGGAGGATGTGCAGATTCGGCATGAATCAAGATGTACATGCAGCCTGCTTTCCTGTACCAATTCCTACTGAACATGCCGTCAGACACTTTCACCTGCGTGTTTAGGTAGGGAAGCCAACCGTTGCGTGGAACTTCTCTTGTGAGCTTGATGTACTGCGACTGTTGGTTCATTAGTCGAAAACACTCACTCTTTCAGGATTTACAGCACATCACTGGAACGTTCCGTAATGATTCTTCAATTCTCCTTGATAAAACAAATTGCAAGTTCTGACTGGGGCCAAACCCTGACCCATAGTCAACGCTTCACTCTGAGAGTAGTACCTACCATCTCGTTATTGAACGCTGAG